TGTTCAAAGGGAAGGCACACAGAGGCAACCCAAAGTACTGCTGCATATTCCGCGCCGGTGCTGGATGGGGCGTGGGACGGCGCAGACCTGCAAGTGCCTGCGACATATCATCCTGACGTCCATCCTGCGAACGAGCAACCCCCGATGTCTGTAAGTAAGACTATGAAGGCCCAGGCTGCCGACGAGTCCCCCCCACGTTTAACGGACCCGTCATGATATCTATGAACGGAACGCCACGCGCCATCTCGTCTAGGGCGTAGATGGAGAGCCATGCGGGCTTCAGGGGGCATATGAGAGGCCACGGAGACATCGTTAGACAGGGAGGGGAAGGGTGATCAGCCACTATGGAGGCGACGGGCGGGGCCCAAGGTAGACGGGCACAGATGCGGGGCCTCTCTTGGTCGAAAGGGCCCCCTGAGCCACGCGGGCGCCCCGGGGGGCCGATGGCCCCCATCAGCCCCCGCAGGCGGGGCCGCGCATTCGCATTTCCAGCGGCAGGTCCGCGCTGCAAGGGTTAATATAAGAGAAGAAGGAGTGGGAATCTTGCCTGGCGCTGCAGAGCTGATGCCGCGAAAAAAGAACCAAGGCCTGCTGGGGGTCGGGCGAAACAATATTGTCTGTGGCAACGTTGCCGACAATATGGAAAAAGGGAACTGAGGCTGCGAAGCAGCAGCAAGGCAATGCCCCCTCATGAATTCACCTTGGCCCTGTTTTGGCCTCTGTTGAAAATGACGACTACAATGATCTCAGATGCAATGACTTGCGCAAGCGTGATCTGCGCACAGCGGGTGACCGTGAAGGCCGTGGAGGGACTGGCCAACAGCGAGCACAGTGCCTGGTCTGGCACTAGACCGCCCGCACAATCCCCCAAAAACCTCCACGCCACTCCCACTTCATCCCACGTGCAATGTCTAGGGGGTGTGAGCGGTGAAAGTGCCGCGTCTCGTGGATTGCCCGACGATCGCGCGAGGTCCAGACCGAAAGCAGAACCCCCCCCCAAAAAAAGTCACCCCCGCCACCTCCGCCCCCCCCACCCATAGGTTATCGATTTTAGCTTGGCCTTGGCTCGGCTCTCGCGGATTGCCAAACGAGCGCTCAGCCAAGCAAGCAGACGCTGATCTGGTAGCGGGGCAGGCTCTGAGACTCCTCCTCAACCTCCTGCGCTTCCACCTTGGGGCCCCACCTCCCGCGCGTGACATGCCAGGTGAGTACCTGGATCCCCTAGCCTGTTTAGGGGGTGGGGATGGGATGGGCGGGGCAGCGCGCCACTCGCTACTCCTACGCCCAGGAACCTCATGCCGAGTGGCGAATGAGTCAACTGCTGCGCCGGCTGAGATGTCAACTGGGGGAGTTGACGTGCTAGGACCATGCGTGCCGAGATCTGTGCAGCAAACGTAAGGGCCGTCGTTGGCGGTAAACGTTGGTTGATCTCGGCCACAGCAATCTATATGGTCAATGCACAAACTAGGCAACCCATGACCCAATGAGTTGCCCGACTTCAAAACTTGGAAGACTGAGCTGAAGGAATTCCTTCCCCACTCGCAGCGCGAGGCACAATATCTTGAGGAGGCGAAAAGCAGCAGAAGAGGAGGTCTCTCATGGATGAGCGGTAGAGGCGATCAAGGTGAGGAATGGGGGAGAGCGCGCTCGTCTGCCTCGCGGGCAGCGGCAACCGACTATTCGGCTGCCCTCGCCTGCTTCCTCGGCGGGCTCAATGATTCTAACTCGCCTGAGGGTGCGGGCTCGTTGGCTGGATCCACAGGCTGCTCGATGGCTGCTCCCGTCCTCTCCTCGAAGGCCCGAACTGCCTCCGCAACTGACTTGTGTTGGGTCGGCTGGGAGTCTTCTACAGTAAGGATGTCCCGGGCATAGGGAACGAGAGGCGGTGTTATCGCAGGATCTTCCTCTGGCGGCTGCTCTTGAACAAGGGGGGATGCCGGCGAACACTTGAACGGAGCTGGGAATGGTACTCGTGTCGCCGCTGCCTGCTCTGTAACAGACTGACTTGGCGCATCCTTCCTCGGCGCCAGAGGTGCGGGCATACTTGCGATCGGCGCAGGCGTCGCAGGTGTCGCCTGAGCTGGCGGCGGCGTAGGCGAACGAGCCCGCCCGTGGGGCGGTAGCGTGACCTCCATGGGATCCACTGCTTGCGTCGGCTCCACCGCCTCCACAGGAGAAGTGCCATCCAGGCTGAGAGGAGGCTTGAAGTCGCCAGGCGGCTGCGCAGGGGCTGGCGGCGCTGGCCTGGCTGCATGCGCCGCCCCATCGCCCGCCAGTCCTCCGCGACGAAGTGTGTCCTGTCTTACTGTTTTCTGAACACCATGGGCAGCATCGCCAAACTGGCTGATGATGTAGTCTTGCTGAGCTGAGCGCGTCATGATCTGCTGCGTCATCTGGGGCATCAGCTGCATCTGCGGGTCCAGCCCCTGCGGTGCGGCGCTTGCTGATGCTGCCCTGGGAGAGGGGCCGGGGCTGACTGGGCAGTCTGAGCTGGCTGAGGCCGAGGAGCGGGCGGCGGCGGGGGCGCCCCCTGCTGAGCCCCTGGTATTCCAGCTGCGGGCCCTGCTGCGAATGTCCCAACTCCTATCCAATCACCGTCCATGTCGTCGTCCTCCTCTCGCTCGAGCTGCTCGAGCCCCCTCACCTCGGCAATGTTGGTCTGGATCGCCTCCAGCTCTGCGGCGAGCTGTGCCTCCTCAGGGTTGAGCTCGTGGGGCCTCTCTCGTGTGTTTCTCAACCTTTCCGTGATAGTGTCTTTTATATGCTTGAGCCTGCCAGTCTGGGGCGACGCCTTCTCAGTGCTATTGGCCATGAACTTCAGGCAAGCCAGCTCCGCAATGATACCGCCATTGGCCTGGGTGGCATGACGTGCAGCGATGGCCAAGGACGCAAGTGCGTCCATCCTGTTGTACAACTTCTTTTTCCACTGCCTGATCGCTGATGCCTCCGTCGGGGGGTCCTAGATCCGCTCTCGTGATCTGAACCACTCTGGCAATGAAGGATCTGAGCAGTCGGTCCAGCGGCCTTGATTGGTCACGTGCCTGCCATTTGCCACCTCGTGGTTGGCTGAGAGGTCTCGCTGGGTGCCCTCGCTCAAGCGCGTGTCCAAAGGGGCCTCCTTTACTCACATTATTGTCGAAATAAAGACCGCACAAGCATTTCCAATGGTGATCCTTGACTGTCCGATGGCAGTTCTCACAATGCCGGGTGCCTCCTGGCTTGGGCTCCTGTTGGCGTCTCTGATCATGCTGATGCGTTTTCTCTGGTGACTGCTGCTGCCGAGAATGGTGAGAGCGAATCTGATTAGCTGCCTAATGTATTTTCAAACGGGCTCGAGCCCGACCTCGTTGCTGTCTCAATCGTCTATGCCAGGCAGGCTCTGGCTTGGACCTTTTACCTGCCGTCTTGTGCAAAGAAGGGGGGGTGTACGGTGAACATGAGGGAAACAAAGACTCAGACTGGTGCGGCAAAGCACGCGTGAGGATCGGGCTGCACCTGGCCTGTCACACCAATCTGCGGGGTCGGTGACGGCCAAGCTTTGGAGCCCAACGCCTTCTCCTCCTCCTCCTCCTCCTCCTCCTCCTCCTCCTTCTCCCCCCTCCCCCTCCTCCTCCTCCTCCTCCTCCTCCTCCTCCTCCTCCTCCTCCTCCTCCTGGTGTTCTTCCTCCTCACTGCCTCATGACCTCGCCGTCCCCTGGGGGCTGCGATCTGCGAAATTGTCAACACTTTCGTGGATGTCTGGGAGGGCCAGCGGAGGTACGTCCCACGCAGATCACCACGAGACCTCGTCGCCCCCAGGGGGCTGCGATCTGCGAGACTGTCGCCAGTCTCGTGGGCTTCTGGGATGGGCTTCTGGAGGTACGTTCCACGCAGATCACCACGGGACCTCGTCGTCCCCTGGGGGGGGGGGCGATCTGCGAAGCTGACGCCACTTTCGTGGGCGCCTGGGAGGGCCAGCGGAGGTACGTCCCACGCAGATCACCACGGGACCTCGCCGTCCCTTGGGGGGGTGCGATCTGCGAAGCTGACGCCACTTTCGTGGGCGCCTGGGAGGGCCAGCGGAGGTACGTCCCACGCAGATCACCACGAGACCTCGTCCCCCCCTTGGGGGCTGCGATCTGCGAAACTAACGCCACTTTCGTGGGCTCCTTGGAAGTCCAGCGGAGGTACGTCCCACGCAGATCACCACGAGACCTCGTCGCCCCCTGGGGGGCTGCGATCTGCGAAACTGTCGCCAGTTTCGTGGGCGTCTGGGAGGGCCTGCGGAGGTACGTCCCACCGGGACCACCATGAGACTTCGCTGCGCTGTTTGATCGCAGATCGCAGCGGGATGGGGCGCCACGGAGCGCATGGCGCTTGCATGTGCCCATGCCGCATCGACTGTTCAGATAGCTCTTGTCCGTAGTGCAGTCGGGCGCTTAGCGCTTAGCGCAGGGCGCTGCTCTGTGATAGCGCCCACGGCGCTGTTCTGCAATGAGAACCTAGCGCGATGCGCTGTTCCTCCCTCGAAGCATGTCTCCAGTTCCCCCTCATCAGTATGTTTCCACGCCCCCTCGTTGTCGCCTTCCTGCCAACGATATGACTTTTAAGAGTGATGCCGCGAATGTGTTGTTTTACCCTGGCCCAGCGTTCTTTGGCGAAGCGTTCAAGAGCACGGCGGACCCTTCAGTGCTTGATTTTGTATTGAGCGGTCCGATGTATAGTCGCCTCATGTGTACATAGGTTTGGGTACGTCCCCGGGTAGTTGTGCAGTCCCTCTACGGTCGGACCGAGGTCTGAGGTCGAGGTCGGTTTGGGGAGGCTTAGCCCAGTGTTCTTCGTGCTTGTCATATGTTATTGTGCGTAGGGTGCCCTCGGTGTTCTGATGGTTTGGGGTGTTCTGCCTGGTGGAGGGTCTCATGTTCTTGAAGGATGTAGTTCTGTCGTCGGTCCGGCTGCAAGGGGTAGTTCCCGCGCTTTCCCCAGCGGTTGTGGTTGTCTCCTCTTCGTTCCTGGTCAAGGCGATCCTCCTCGTGATGGCCTTCGCCCAGATCTGCCACTACGCGTTCGGCGTGCTGAGCTACTGCCCGCGCTGGGCGTGGAATCCCGGGGCAATGACCCAGGGGGGATAGGCTCGACGCTTCGAGGTCCCCGAAGTCCTGAGGTTTCAGGGGCAACGCTAGGGCGGGATAGGCTCGACGGTTCGAGGCTCGAGGCTCGAGGCTTTGTTTCCGGAGTTGTCGTAGGCTCTCGCTGGATTTCCAGCCTCGGGATGCCCTTTCAGCGGCTGCGCCCCGCCGAGAGGCGTCCCGGGGTGCTTGGATCGTCCCGAACGGCCGCTGGAGAACCGAGCTATGACCCGAAAGCCAAGGCAAGGGGCAACGGCAGGGGGGAGAAGGCTCAGGGGGGGACGCATCGCACTGATCACCGACAGGCACGCCAGCGCAAGCATAGGTCAGGGCTTCCATGCAAAATCGGCTCTCGGCGTCGCCAAATCAGGCGGCTTTTGCCTCATGTGTTGGGGATCCCTTGCCTGATCAGTGGATCTGGCGCCAGTGCGCCAGATCTGATAGCTCACCCGCCGAACAGGAGCGAGCGGACTCGCTGCCGGGGGCCTGTTACTGCCGACCTGTCGACGATGCATCGGTGATTCCAAGCCGATGTCTCGCCCCCTTGAGCCTGTTCCCTTGGCCTTCGGGTTATCATAGCCTTGCTCTCTGGTGGCAGCTCGGGACGCCTCGGGCACCCCGGAACGCTCTCGGCGGGGCGCAGAAGCTGGAAAGCATTCCGAGTCTGGAAAACCGCCGAGAACCAGCGAGAACGTCGGAACACCTCGAACCTGGGGCACCGAAGCCCCTTACGCACCCAGATCTTCGAGACCTGAGGGCGCCGAGGCGCCTCCGCGCCGCCCGTCTAGGGACGGCCTCGAGGGCCGAGGCTGTGCGTCGTGGCCGCGCCCTTGCCTTTCCCCCGTCCCGTCAGGAAGACTGCTGCCCACAAGCGGTGGCAGTACGGGAAGAACGGCGGGCTCGGCAGGTGGTCGCCCTGGGGCAGGCGGCCGGCGGGCGCAGAAGGGGGCAGGGTCCCAGCCAGACATGGCTCGACGCGTCGAGTAGAATCGAAGGCCTTCAGAGTCACAGTCAGAAGCAATAGCACATGAGCATAAGCTTTAGGAGCTCCGCGCGGAGTTCTTGGATCGGCGCTGGGCTCCCTGGCGGCGCCTCCAGCACCGCCCCTGGCGCGATCCGCGCGCTATTGTGGGCGTTCCTCGGCCGATCCAAGGAATCCTCGTGGACCTCCGAAAGTTTCTGCCCATATGGTTCCCAAACCATCCTGTGGTGTTGTGTCCTCGTTTGGGATCAGCAGCTCCCCGCGTCACCTCGCCTCTTCCCCTTCTCTCACCTCGTCGTCCTCGTCCTCGTCATTGTCGTCGTCCACCTCCTGATCCTGATCAGTATCCTCCTACTCCTCCTCATCATCATCAGCATTAGCATCAGCATCAGCGTCAGCGTCAGCGTCATCGTCATCGTCATCGTCATCGTCATCATAATCGTCATCAGATTCGTCATCATCATCGTCATCCTCACCAGCGTCATCGGCATCAGCATCGGCATCATCAGCACCAACACCATCATCACCATACTCAGTATCAGCATCAGCAGCATCAGCAGTATTATCATCCGTAGCCGTTTTGGCTCAAGCCATTTTGGCTCACGATGGCGCGGTCAGGGCAGATGTCTGGTTCCGTGTGGCTGGCTCTGGCCGTCGCGTCTCTTCTGGGCCAGATCCATGTCGATTCAGTTTTCAGCGAGACCTTCGCGGCCACAAGTCTTTCAATTCCATTACCATTCCGACACCCAGCCCCAGTCGCCCGATTGGGAACCCAGCTGCGGCAGGCCCGACCAATGGCAGGAGGTGGTGGCGGTGATCGAGGTGCTGCGCGTGGTGGCGGCGGCAAGGGAGGCAGCAGAGGAGGGCACCGAGGCGGTGTCCAGTCAGGCTCGGGAGGGGCATGCGGCGTCGCCCCAATGCCTGGGACTGCCCCAAGTACGGAGCCAAGAAGTATTGGGGCTCTCAGCGCGTCTGTCGCAGCTGCGGGTTTGACTGGGGGGAGCAGGGATCAGGGGCAAGCGCATGGCGGAATGACATGTCACAACTGAACGCCAAGGAACGACACGAGCTCAACCAGCTGCGCTGGAAGGTCAAGAAGCTGGAAGGAAGTACTCACTCCCCAGGCTGAGGCGGCGACGCGGGCTCGGCTCCAGCAGCAGGAGGGCGGCGGCAAGCACCGAAGGACGACCGAGTTCGTCGCCCGGGGAAGCTACGGAGCGAAATTAGAGAAGTCTAGGGCGTGGAGGGCAGAGAACAGAACAGGAAGCACAGCAGTTGGACCACGGGCTCTCAGAGACAAATCCCACGTCAGTACAGTTCAGCGAATGGAACGCAAGCATAACAAAAAAAACAGCAGAGCACCACGGAGGCGCTGGAAAGCAAGATCCTGGCCGCCGTGTAGGAGATCTCGGACCCGCAGGCCCAGAAACTCGAGCTGGAGGGGAAATGCGAGCAGAGCAAGACCACGGAGAAGGAGCTGCAGGCGCTCATAGACAACCTCCTGGCCAAGCAGCTTCGCGCACGGGACGGACCCACGCGTGAGGGAGCGGCGGGCGGTGCTCGGGCCCCAGCCTCCCCAGGGGCCACAGGGGCAATGCTCAGCGAAGGCGAACGTGCCGCCGCTTTCTTGGCAGCGCTCGACCAGGCCTCGAGCATGATCAACCCAGGGTTCGCACAGCAACGGGATGGGCAGGTTGCAGAGCTTCGACGCCTGGCGCACCGCGTGGCCGCTGCGGGAGTTGCAGCATAACGCGACAGCGGCGACGAGCAGGAGCTCGAGGAGGCGGACCTCGCCAACATCCTGGACAGCGTGGAGGAGGTGGTCGCCGAAGCCGGCGGTTGCGAGGCAGCAGGGGGGCGACGACGGCGGCGGCGCCAGCGCCGCCGACCCCGCGGCCCAGGCTGCCGCCAAGCGCGAGCTGCGTACGATCTGCGGTGCTCAAGAGAAGGGGGGGGGGGGGGGCGAGGGTAGCTGGCCGACGTTCGCGGCGGCGAGCCTCAACGGCAGTGGCTGGGGCCCTTTCGCCGCCATTCTCGGCGAGCAGCAGGGCCCCCAGCAGTTCGCCGCCGCGCGGGGGCACGCGGGGGGGGGGGGGGGGGCGCGTTTTGCTTCCAGGAACAGCACCTCAACGGCAACCGCGCTACGCAGCAGGAGCAGCGGCGCAGGCAGGTCGGATGGCACGCCGCGTTGACCCCAGGCGTGAGCACAGCGGGGGCCTCTCAGCAGCGCGCGGTCAGCAGCGGCACGGGGGTCGCAGCGCCGCGCGGCCCGCGGCGCGCGCGGCCTTGGCGAGCACGGCAGCGAGCCCAGCTGCCGCGTCTCCGACGGCAGGGCGACGGTGACCCACGCCAACGGGGCGGTACCTGGAGGCTTCATGCCGGGCGCGGTCTATTTAGACAACGACGACGTCGGCGAGATCAGCAAGGCCGCGCCGCAGGAAGTCGGGCCCCTCCTCAAGAGCACAGGGAAGCCGTGGGTCCTCGCGGGGGACTGGAACGTCGAGCCCGGCAGGTTCCACCAGCGCGCGAGCAACTGGCTCTGCATGGTCGGGGGCCACGTCGTCGACGCGGGAGTGGGCGCCTGCCGGCGCTCCTTTGCCAGGGGGCCGTCGGAATTGGATTGGTTCATCGTCAGCGCGGAGATGTTCGACAGGGTCGCGGCCTGCAGTCGCCTGGACATGACGGCCCTGGGGTGCGCGAGCCTGCGCAGGCCCCGCGTGGCGGTCAAGCTCAGCCTCGCCTGCTACGGCGACCAGGGCCAGTCGTTCAGGGTCGAGGGGCCGATGGCGTTCCCCAAGTCGCGCTCCTTCGGGCCCATTCGAAGTACTGGGATGCGGTGCGGGCCCAGATCGACCAGAGCGAAGTCCTGCAGGCCTTGGCGGCTGCCTACAAGGGGCTGTGCGAGGGCGTCGAGGATGAGCTCGTCTGGGCGCGCCAGATCGACCCTGGCGAGGCCGACTTCTATCGGGGGCGCGGGGGTCCACCGAGCTTCGGGCTGGCTCGCGGGCGCGCGCGCAGCCCACCCAGGGGCCCGAGGCCAGCTGCAGGGGCAGGGAGCTCATGCGCCCGTGCGACTTCTTGTCCCAGGTGCGGCAGCTCGCGGGAGGGCCTGCTTCAGACGGCGGCAGCCCCGAGGTGGAGGCCCGGCCCAAGCTGGGCCCTGAGCGACGAGAGGCAGAGCGCATGCAGGCCAGGGCGCTCGAGCGACGCAAGCGAGTCCTGGGCCGGCGCGCGCGCAGCTGGGCGCCCAACCCCAGCAGCCCCCAACTACTACGAGGAGGACGAGGCCGAGTGGATGGAGAAGTGCGCGTCTTAATTTGTCGCACGCCGGGCCTGCCGACGCACGTCGCCGCGGGCCTGGGGCGGGACTTCGACGGCCGCGTGGCCGCGACGCGCGACGTAAGCGCCTCGGCCTGGCGCCGCGGGGTTCCTGGGAAGACCGAGTTGATCCGCCTTCTCAGACAGCTGGCTAGGCCTCGTCGACCGCGACGTCTGGGAGGAGGGGCTCCACAGGGCGGGCGACCACTGCCAAGAGTCCAAACGGTGGCTGGAGGATCGCGGCGACTACAGCAGGCCTCTCCCCAGCGCTCCCATTGCCTACCCTTCGTCGGGAAGGGCCCGCTCTGACTGGGGGCCTCATCTGGGCAGCGGCAGCAGGGGCGGCGGCCGGCGGGCAGCGCCGCGGCCCCCGCGCCCTGGCGCGCGCCGCACCCGACGGAGAGCGGGGCGCCATCGAAGTCGGGGTGCAGGGGGCGCGGGGGGCGCGGGCCCCCCCTCCCCCCCCCCCGCGCGCGCTCGCCCGACCCAGCGCAGGACGAAGAGGAGTGGATGCAGTTGTGCACGCATTACGCCTGCGCCCGCATCAGTCTGCGCGAGAGCGACGGGGCCGACCTGGCGACCCGCAGTGACGCAGCAGGCGGCGCTGAGCCAGGGGCTGGACTGGGGGCTGGGCAGCAAGCGGCGCCGAGCCAGGGGCGTAATCCCAACCCAGCCCCTCGTGAGCTCGCGTGCAGCGCTGGCGGCTGCCGCTGGCGGAGGCACCTTGAGCTCGGGCACTTGCCCAGCACCCAGCGCGGCTACCACTGCGGCATTAGCGCCATTCGGAGCTGGAGCGGGAGCAGCATTGGCGGAGGACACCAGTATGAGCCCATTTCAGCCCACGCAGGGGGCAGCCGGCCACAGGCAGCGGCGGCTCCGCCGGCGGCAGCGCGCGCGAGCCTGACGCGGCGGGGCCCTTCGCCGAGAGCGCGGCTGCCCGCTGGGCGCGCGCCGTGGAGCTGCGCGAGGAGAGCTACGTAATCTCCGAGCCCGTTCGGGCGGAGCGCCGCCGCGGCATGAGGGGCCTGGAGCCCAGCAGCCCCGATGCGTGGGCCGTCGCAGAGGACGGGCGCTACAGCTACATCCAGGCCGCCAAGAAATTCACGCGCTCGGGGGCTTCCCGTCGGCGCGCAGCGACGGCAGCGGCGGCGGCAGCCCCGGCAGCAGCAGCTCGAGTGGCAGCGAGGGCCGCCCGGGAGCCGCAGCACCGAGGCCCCCTTTCCGTAGAGGGCCTCCCTCCGAGGGGCGCAGTGGGCAGCCCGTGTGGCTCTGTCAGCGGAATGCCAGACCTCCCGCCCTGAGAAGACTGGGCTTCCCAGACGAGGGCCGAAGCAGAGGCCGAATGAGCGGCCTTCGCAGCAATCCGTGGGCAGGGGTTCAAGGGGTGGATTCAGGACGCCATGGCCGCTGGTGCCGGCGGCCTGCATGCCTGTCGACGGGGCCCGCGCGGCTGGGCGCCCGACGACGAGATCCATGGGGCCCCGGCGCGCGGCCCTGATCGCGCGAAGGTCGCGGCGGCGCAGTGGTCCTCAGAAGTCTGGGGGGTCAGAAAGGGCAGAGACCGCTTCCGTCCTCCGCGGCCGCCAGCCAATGGCGAGGCGCTGCCCAGGCCGTCGGCCGATCGG